TTATATTGTTATTACAATACAGTAGGTTTATTTATTCATTTGTTCAAAAAATGTTACTAAACACTTGCTATGTGCCACCATGTAATATTTGATCACTGATCTTTAGCTAATCTTATGCTTGCAGTTGAAAAAACTTATTTTCAAAGATCCTTTCTTGTTTTATTTTCTGCTCCTTTAATGTGCTTTTCAATGATCTTATTATAAGTACGAGAATCAAGTATTTCACACACCAGGTCTTTCTACTCTGTAACTCATACTCTCAAGATCCGCTACAGGTTTCTTGAGCAGTATTTGTGTGTGTTCTCCCCCAGTTCATTTGAAACGTTCACTTCCATATTTTGCACACTTTATTAATTTAATTCTTCTTTATTTCTTCAAAATATTTAAGAATTTTGTTATAATAAAGTTGTCAGCATCTTGTTAGGTTTTTGATTTCTAGACTTTCATTACAGAGTTTGTTTTCTCTAATTATAAATCCAACCCCACCCCCCGTGTTGGTCATTGAGTCTACAAGTCCATCTGCAGTAGGTGGATTGCAGTTTGAATGATATTTCAGAATTTATTGTCCAGAGATGATAATTGTATTTTTCTGATATCTCTAAATTGAGTTACTTTGTAACTTTGGAGTTACATACACTGTTAAAGAGTCAAGATTTTGAAAAGTTTTATAGAAACAATATACTGTATATTTTTCAACACTTTCCTTTCACCTCCCACCTCCCCAGATTTCTAGTTATGTATCTGGATTGCTCTTAAAGATTAAAACTTATTTTGAGAAACCAATTTGGATGCTATAGAAGACCTCAATTGTAATTAATTTCTCACAATATTATTGATAATATTTACATCATAAATGTATCAGAAAAAGTAGCACATACTTCCTGGGCTATATTTCAAGTCCAACAGTTTGCAACAAGCTCATAATATTCTATAATATTTATAAACATAAAAGCACTCATTGCTACAAATCCATGTTTCCCAGCATTTTCACTGCCTAATCATTGGACTCACAACCATGCCCTTCTTTTTTTCCAAAGTTTGAGAAATAGCAAACATAGCCAATTTAAAATGTAAAAATTATCATATTAGTCTGTTCTTCATTGCTGTAAAGAAATACCTAGGAAGTCTACTTTGTAATGCAAAGAGATTCTTTCAGGCCTCCAGTTCTGGACAACAAAGAATAGGGACTTCATTGGGTGATGACCGCTTTGTGGCAAAAGGGAGCACACATATGTATCTCAGTGTTCATTCAGTCTCTTGTATTCCCTTTGTCGTCTTATGAAGCCACCAGGAATTAATCATGAGGACTCCACCTAGATGACTTTATCTCATACTAACCAGTTCTAAAAGGCCCTACCTCTAAACACCATAGTCATGTTGCCACCCCCCCTAATACCACACAATGGGAATTAAATTTCAAACCATGAAACCTTGGGGCACTCACACCATATGCAAAACATAGCAGTGAATAAAACTGCTTTTCCACAGTTGGATTTAAAATTTAGTGCCTGTGGACTTCTGGCAGTGTCATACAAACAAGTGGGGTTCTTAGTTCAGCTCTTTCATAATTTTGAGGAAGGGAATTTTCACCTTTCTCCATCTTGAACCATGGAAAGTATCATCGTATTATAAATCAAATGATTATGAATGTGATTCCAGCTTCTCGATTTCCCTTTAAATAAGTCTAACTTTACTACCTACTATCAATATGTTTGCAGCGTAGCCTGAGAACATTATGTTCTCTGTAGAATTCTTTCTGCCTGATCATATATCACTCTGTCTCACGAAGAGTCTATATGTAGTGGCATCTGAGGAAATAAGTCTCTAGTTTCCTAGTTCTCTGTAATTGGTGATTAAAGTCTTGGGAGTTGTGTTCCACATCACTTCTGGATCTTTTCTTTCATGTGTCAATAGCTAAAAAAAGTCTTGCTAATCTCATGTCATTCTTTGTGCTATGGAGGTTGATAACTTCAGAGTCCTGCCCCACCCCAATCCTGAACATGTTCTTACACATATCTTGGAGGATAATCTAGTTCATCCTCTGAAATCAGACATACCAGTCATCGATTATTGGTATTACTGGAGCTTTTGGCTTAACCTGAGCCTTCAAAATCCCTGTGGTGGTGTTGTACTTATTCCAAAAAGATGTTCATAATAATTCAAGAGGTCTCAAACTATTAAATGTCATAATAATTTAAGAAGCTTAAGCTACAATTACCTAGAATCTTGTCTCCAGATAGTCTGATGCATGGCCTCCAGTGGGGTCTTGTCATTGCATTTTAAATAAGTGCCCCTGGATGAGCATCACTCTGTTAGGTATTTTAGTGACTCAGCTCCAATAGTTTTTCTGCTTTATATGAACACTGTTTGGCCAGCCTATCATCTTTCCTTCCTTCCTACCTCAATCCTGCCAATTTTCACAGAGCACTGTGCCAGTGCAGAGAAGGCAATCTCAAGATGCATTCTCTAACCCAAAGAAATTCTCAGTGTATATTTTCTTCATTTTGCGCAATTAACGTTATGGTTCTCAACTGTTTTAAACAGACATATTCTGTCATGAAAAAGTGTGTTTTGGGCCGGGGTCATGGCTCATTGGTAGAGTGCTTGCCTCGCATGTGTGAGGCACTGGGTTCAATTCTCAGCACTAAATATAAATAAATGAGTAAAATAAAGGTCCATCAACAACTAAAAAACCATTTTTTTAAAAAAAATGTATCTTTTGTCTCATCTCAGAGCTTATGGGATGATGCTTCTTCAGAGTCTTCGTTACTGTCTCTTCAATTCAGCTTTGACTGATGGGAAGTCTTTCTAAGGTCCAGAAGATTAAAAATTTTATTTCTCATTAGTTTGCAGTGCAGTTGGAGCAATTTAAAAAAATGTGAATCCTTTAATCATGGCAGTTTGTTTTGACCTTTAGCTGTTACCATCTTGCACCTAATTAGTTTGAGATCCTTATCTACAATTGGCTTACTTATTTTGGAAGCAATCATAAACCTGTTGCTGAGTTATTATATTATTATATTAGTCTCATGCCTTTATTTCTTCTGCAGATATTTCAAATGTTCAACCACTATTTTCTTTTCATTCTGTTTCTCAGTTCATTTGTATTCTTTGCCTTAGAATGTGCATACTGCTTTAGCTAAAATTGACCCAATTTCTTTTGGAATACTACCTTATGAACTTGACCTTGGAGATCTTTTCTATTGTATTGGCTGCCTAATTGGGCTCTTGCTTCTTCCTTTCAGTACATTCAGGACAGGTTGATTTTTTTGTGTGTGCGTGGTGGGGGACAAAGCCAAGACCTCACATATGCTAAGCACATTTTCCATCACTGAGTAACATCCCCGTCCCCAGATCTAATTTTTCAAAGCAAATAGCTCAGGTTTCTCTGTGAGGTTCGCCATATAGGGGGCTTTGTAAAGACACTTGGAAGCTAAATTCATTACGCAATAAGTCACTAGGACTTAAGTGCTTACCAGTTAGAGCTGGGGCTCCTTTTCAGAAATATTACCTGACCAGGAAAATAAATCTAGCTTGAAGAGTTTCAGGCTGCTCTAGAGGCGAACTGTCTGGGTTAAGTGAGTACAGTGGGCTCAGCGTCTTTGGGGCTTGAAAAGGGAGTCCCCTGGAGCTCTATTCCTGATTGCAGATTGCCAAAAGGGAAACAGTCTTTCAAAGTAGGAGGGATTTAGTTTAGCCATCTGCAGGCACTTTCTTATCCTGTTGTCTTTCGTGATCCCTCATCCCAAAAGTACCAAGTTTTTGGTTTGGTAGAAAAGATGGCAGGCAAGATGGCTTCCAGAGGATTAGCTATCCCTGGATTTCTGTGATGACTCTTGAGGTGGGAAGGACCACAATGAGTGAGAGTGTGTGTGTGTGAATGTGTGTGTTGGGCAGAGTTGAGAGGGGGTTCTAATACTTCTTTGTTACCCTAGTTTTGGATGTCCATCGTGGCCACCACTATGCCCATACCTTGTGGAGGCTTCATGCCTGTGTTTGTGCTAGGTAAGTTCTGATGGCATCAAACCGGTAGCTGCAATCTAGGGTTCTGAGAATCAAGAAAGAACCTGAGATGCTGGAAGTTTGTATTTGCCCTTAACACTCATGAGAGACTTATCCTGAAAACAGAGAGAATAAAGAACTTGGATTTCACGGCAAGTTCCTTCTTTTATCTTCCCACTAGGAGCTGCATTTGGAAGATTGGTAGGAGAGATAATGGCCATGCTGTTCCCTGAAGGTATCTTATTTGATGACATCATCTACAAGATCCTTCCTGGGGGCTATGCAGTTATTGGTGAGAAACTTCCCATCCTCTGGTAACAAACATTGGGTACCCCAAACTCCCACAATCAAACTCTCTGAATACGTCTTCATTGCAATGTACACAATATGGTTTCAATTTGAGGCCATCTAATTCAACTTCTGTGCCAATAACCAACCCTTGGCTCTGACACCAGCTCCTATTATACTTCTGCAGGCCTTAGCTTCCTCATGTGGATGAGGGATAATAGGGACTAAATGTGAAACATCTTGGATCCTGTCTGCATATTCAGTGAGGGGTTTTTTCTTTCCTTCCTAAGAATCATGGAACCAATAAAGCAGGTGACTGGCTCGGGTAAACTCCATCTGAAAGGGGCTAATGTTAATAAGGACTAAGGACACAGGAGCGACAGCTGAGAGACATGAGCTCTAGGTTCTCCCTGCTACTTGTTACCTGGACAGCCAGGGAGAAAGCTGCCTGAGCCTTAGTTCCTTTACTCTGAAGTGACTTCTGGGATGGAGCCATCAAAGGGACTGATATAATCCCCCGGATCCTCATGCCTTTTCCCACCCTCCCCTCTTCACCCAAATCCAGAAGCACCAACCAGCTTTATGGCTCATGTAGTACCTTGCTCCCAGTCTCATTATAATGTCTTCCAATTGCCACTTAGAGTCAAAGATTCTTTTTTTTCCCCATACTGTTTATTGTTACATTATAGTTATACACCATGGTGGGACTTGTTATTACGTAGTCACACATTCGCACAATATAATTTGCCCAATATCCTTCCCCAGTATTGCCTTTTTCTCTCCCCTTCTGCCTCCTCCTGGTCCTTTTCCTCTATTTTACTGATTTCCTTCCATTTTTGTGAGATTCCCTCCTCCACCTTTCTGTTCCTTTTTCCTCTCTAGTTTCCACATGAGAGAAAAACACATGACCCTTGACCTTCTGAGTCTGGCTTATTTCGCTTAACATAATGGTCTCTAATTCCTCCATTTTCCTGCAAATGACATAATTTCAGTTTTTGTTTATGGCTGAATAAAACTCCATGGTGTACATACACCACATTTTCTTTACCCACTCATCCCTTAGAGTCAACTGTTCTTTATCTTCATGCCTCTCAGGTGTCCCTCCCCATCGGTGGACACTTCCCGGTTTATGTGTCCTATGATAGACAATGTTCTGAAGTATGTTGGACGCATCACCCAGTAGTGTCATTCCTCCCAATATTTCCCTCTGTGACTCTTTCTTGCTCCATTTTTACATATACCATCCCAACATTTTACCATAGGCTGTCTAATATTTATATTTAAGTAAAAAATGTAGTCAGTGAAGGAGGGACTATTTGGATTGAGGAGAAAACAACTAAAAAAATTAAGCAAGATGGATTCATAGAATCATAAGATTTTTGAATCAGCAACAGCTTTAGAAATCAGTTAAGGATGCTTTTACTGTACAGGTGAGAGCATGGGATCACGGAGAAATTAATCTCTGTTCATACAGTTGAGGCATAGAATCAGCATCTGATCAGGTCTCATTGCTCCAAGTCCACAGAATGATTCTTGGGTTTTCATTAATTGTTGGCATCAAGGCCCAAAGTAAAATAACATCATGATTTTATTACAGAAAATTTTTTTCCTGGTACTGGGGATTGAACCCAGGAACACTTTACCACCCAGCCACACCCCAGCCCTTTTTATTTTATTTTGAGATATGGACTTGCTAAGATATGAGACTAGTTTTGAACTTGTGATCCTTCTGCATCAGCCTCTAGAGTTTCTGGGAGTATAGGCATATGCCACAGCACCCAGCTTAACATTTTAAAAACCAATTATGGAGCTGGGTGCAGTGGCATATGCCTATCATATCAGCAACTCTAGAGGATAAAAAATTAGTTCAAAATTTAAAAAGGGCTGGAAATATAGCTCAATGGGAAAGCACCTCAGGTATAATTGATAGATAGATAGATAGATACATACATACATACATACATACATATATATATATAAAATTGAAAAATAAAGTGCTCAGTTAAAAATTATCCAAACTTTTGAAGGACATGATGGCACACACCTGTAATCCAAGTGGCTCAGAAGGCTGAAACAGAAGGATCATGAGTTCAAAGCCAACTTCAGCAAGTGAGTTGCTGAGCAACTCAGTGAGACCCTGTCTCCAAATAAAATACAAAATTGGGCTTGGGCTGGGGATGTAGCTCAGTGGTTGAGTGCCCTTGAGTTCAATCCTCAGTACCAAAAAAAAAAAAAAAAAAAAAGATTCAAACTTTCAAAAACAAAGAATAGATTAAACATTACTACCTTCATCTTGTAAATTAAAATCTTGGCACACAAAAAGATTTTGTGACTTACTGAAGATTACAAAACAAGGTCTAAAGGATGGATTTCTAGCAGGTCTGCATTCTAGCTCTACACTTGACAAATTGTTATCTCAGGAATGTTGGCGCTGCCAAGGTCCCATCTCTCATTCTGTATAATTCGCATCACATCCCCAAGTGTCCTTGCCAACCATGGCTGCCTTAACCTACTGATCCTTTCCCATGTCATTCTAGGAGCAGCAGCGCTGACGGGTGCCGTGTCCCACACAGTTTCCACAGCTGTGATTTGCTTTGAGTTAACTGGTCAAATTGCTCACATCCTACCCATGATGGTAGCTGTTATCTTGGCCAACATGGTGGCTCAGAGCCTGCAGCCCTCCCTGTATGACAGCATCATCCAGGTCAAGAAGCTACCCTACCTGCCTGACCTTGGTTGGAACCAGCTCAGGTCAGGGACACTACCTGGAATTAGCACAGATTTGATGAGGGAGATGGGGCTCTGAGGTTGAGATGGAGATCAGGGTCAATGTTGGGAAGCACTGTTTTCAATTACATTTGTGTTTCCATGTACTAATAAATACTGTGAGTGACTAGTGCATGGCAAACCTCAAGGGAGGAATGGAAGGGACAGCAAAGGCATAGGCATGTGTGTGTGGGGGGCTAACCCACCCTGCTTTCTCCCTCCATAGCAAATTTACAATCTTCGTTGAAGACATCATGGTACGTGATGTGAAGTTTGTTTCCGCTTCTTGCACATACGGGGAATTGCGATACCTGCTCCAGACAACCACGGTCAAGACTTTACCACTTGTGGATTCAAAAGGTTAGTGGGAAGGAAAGAAGCAGACTTCTGAGCTGGTGACCTAAACTGGGGTTGTACAGAGGCAGAGGTGGCTCTGTTGAGCAGGCTTGCCTATACAGCCACCCTCCTGCTGTGGAAGGCCCAGCCTGGACTCATAGGGATCTTGATCTTCCTAGAGGAAAAGGTCAATGAGGAAGTGGTCAAAAATCCAGTTAAATAAATACAGTTGATTCTTATTGTTGGAGGCACTTCTGTTCTATAAAGTCACCATGAGCCCAGAATTAGTGAGCACTATACTGAACAATTGCCCCTAGGGGAAACATGGCAATAAGGTTCCTTAGAGACTCTGGTCAGTATTTTGTCAACTAATCAGCATATAAACTTATATTATATGTGTTCCTGTTTAAAGGTGCTTTATTTAATAGATATTTGTTATTTATTAACATTTAACTTGTGGCAACAGCACTGTCATCATTCCCGAACGAAGCTTACCTAACACGCATACTTTCTCCGTAAGGCATATCCCAGCCTCCTTGTGCTTAGGAACACTAGACAGCACTTCAGCACCATGGCATTATGTTTGGGGGTCATTTTAAACAGCAAAATCACCAACTACAAAGCTTGAAGATGCAAAAATCATGGCTTTAAGAAGCTTGCAAAAAGAATCCTTATTTACAATACTCAAGCTGAAAGGAGAAAGCTAAGCACTATTTTGTTCAACCCCAGATGGGGACATGAGCATTGGGAAACTTAAATATTTTGTTCTCCTGTATGTGTCTGTGAATTACAGCAAAAGCACCTCTAATATTGATATGGGGTTACAAATGTACTTTAGGGAGTAGGTGAATTCACAAATAGGAAATACATGAATAATGAGAATCATAGCCTTTTACTACTAACTAAATCACATCTGTTTTTAATGTTCAACTTAAGGAAGAGATGAAACTGTTCCCTAGGGAATAATGAATGGTTTTAGTAAACAGTGACTTCACATTTCTCTTCCCTCACCATACCTCTTGCCCAGATTTGGTAGCTCATCCTACTTTGTATTATTTTATTGTGGTTTATATATTTATGTCTTGTCTTCCTCACTATTCCTTAAAGGTAGAATAGTGTCTACCTTTAAAGAATAGTGAGGAAGACAAGCTATAGCTTCTGTCTTTCCAGCATGCCTTGTCCTAAATATTTACTGGATATTCAATAAATACTTCTCTAGTGAGTGTTTAAATTATGCAATAGAGAAACATCAGGTGGAGCTATTTGGAGCCATTAAGATTGTTAGTTCTGATTTCAAATAATCAGAATATCCAAATTTCTCAATTTCGACATTTTCTCTAAACTAAGGCAGGTTCTATTATGTTATAAAGCAATGGATCTTGGTGTAAAGGTACAGCCCATGAGGTACAGGATTTTCACTGTAATGACTGAGATTTAGCACAATTTATCTCAGTATCACTGCTACAATTTCATGACCTTAAAACTTAATGAAAATGTTAATTATTATAGCAGAATTTCTATAAACATATCCTGACCTTTCCAGAAAAAGTAGGCATTTATTTATGTCTAGAAAGACCCAGTTTAAGTGATGACATGTCAAATGTGAAAGGCAGTGTCCTCGTTTCCCTTCTTCCAGGGTAGAAGACACGTGCTTGCATTGTTTGTACTTCTTTCAAAGTGTGCTCAGGTCATAGCCTGTTTGAATGACTTTTCACAGATCATTCTATTGCACAGGGTTGATTGATCCATTTTAATACTGAGCTCCTCTATTTGCAAACATTCTATATGAGGGCAGCATCCAAATAAGTACACTTTAGCACCAATTGATGTGATACCAATTGGGCCTGTAAAGTGCTAAATGTGTGAAATAGAAGAGATGGAGTGAGGTCAACCCTGGAGGATTTTTGAAATGAGTTTTTAGAAAAAGAGGGCTGGAGAGGAAAAAAAAAAAAAAAAAGCAGACACTGGGTTTCTGCTCCCCTGGCTCAGTTGTGCCAGGTAGCTGAGCAGAGTCCGGAGCAGCCCCCAGGCTGAGCGTGGGTTCCCCCCAGATTCAATGATCCTGCTGGGCTCCGTGGAGCGCTCAGAGCTGCAGTCGCTCCTGCAGCGCCACCTTTGTCCGGAGCGGAGGCTGCGAGCTGCCCAGGACCTGGCGCGGAAGCTGTCGGAGCTGCCCTACGACGGCAAGGCGCGGCTGGCAGGGGAGGGGCTCCCTGGCGGCGCGCCCCTGGGGCGGCCCGAGTCCTTCGCCTTTGTGGATGAGGATGAAGACGAGGACCTCTCAGGGAAGACCGAGGTGATGAGCCGGGAAGGGCCTGGGGGAGCCGGACCGAGGGGGGCGAAGGGAAAGAAAGTTGTCGGCAGGGGTCGCTAGCGACATCTCCACCGTTTGGCGGTGGCTGGGCAGGACCGTGACAGGTGCAGGGAAACTAGGAGATCGGAGACCAAATGTGGATGGATGACGGAGAAAGCCAGAATTCTGGATTGGGTGAAATAAAGGCAGTCCTCTGAGTCCAGTCCCTGAAGGAGATAAGGTTGTAGGTGACTGTCGATGGGACTTCAAAGGGATGCGGGAACCTGAGCCACGGGGAGGAAAAGTTAGATTTCCCAGGACACCCACTGGGAAAGGCAGGGAGGCCTCTTCTCGGAGGCTGAGAATTTTTGTTATTTCTTTTAGCTGCCTCCTCCTCCTCCTCCCCCCTTTCCTGCTGCTCCATCCGCCCCGGAAGAGCCCAATGGACCCCTGCCCAGCCACAAGCAGTCACTGGAAGCCCCCGAACCTGCAGGTGAAGACCTCCTAGCAGACCCCTAACTCAGGCCTTGGGTTGAGTCTGAGCTCACCACCTAAGGCCTACTCCTATGAGGAGGTATGCGACTGGTGATGGCGGGAGGAGGTCTTATTGCCCAATTTTCTGTATCACTGCCCCCAGGGGCAGAGGTGGAAGAGACGTGTCTACAGAAATGAGGCACCTGGGAGTGCAGTCTTTTGGTGACAAAGTGTCAGGGACCGCTCAGAAGCCCCTGGCCATTTCCTCTCTCTATGCACCACTCCTTTCAGGTCAAAGATTCTCCATCTTCCATTGCCTGCTACGCTGCTTGCTGGGCAGAGCTCGCCCTGCAAAAAAGAAAACAACCCAGGTGAGAGGAGATGTGTTCACAGGGACTAGGGGAAAGGGATCTTGTCTTTGAGAAGTGGGAAACCGTGGTCCATAAACAGGGGTAGAGATGCCTGCAGGGAAGATGACTTGGAAAGGAGGTTTCTGTGGCCTTGGCCAGGAAGAGATGACTCCTGCTTCATGGGAAACCGTTGCTACTGTGAGAAGAAAAGACCTTGACTCATGTCTTTCTTCTCTAGGATTCAACAGATTTGGTGGATAACATGTCACCTGAAGAGGTAAGTAAGAGAAACTGCAACCTTGGGTGGATGGTTCTGCCCCATGGAGGTATTGATGATTTTTTCCTACTTTCTTCATTGTGTTATTGTTAAGGATAAAACAATGCTTCCTAGACAGGAAGCATTTTGAGAGGTGGGAGTAAGGTATAATTGTGGAGAGTAGGGAGCATGTGATGGGCCCAACAGTATTCTCTGAGGAACAGAATTGTTAAAGTTCTGAGCTTCTGTGGGAAGATGGGGCCATGGTACTAAGATGAGCTTTGAATCTTCTAGAGTTAAGGGACATTTTAGAACAGGCAAAGGCCATTTAGAAGGGTGGCACTTAACTGAAGTAAAATGGCACCATGGATCCAGCTCTAACCGCAAGGATGGAGAAGAACCACATCAAAACTATCATGGATGAATCTGCCCTGGCGGTGGATACGGTACTAGACCCATCAGGCCCTGAAACTGTCAGACAGTGAATCTGGGATCTGCAAATGGAAGACAAATCATGTGTGGGGACAGGTGCCTATCTCCTAAAGAGGCAGTTACCAAGTCCACCAGAGAAAACCCAATACTGACTGTGCTTGTTTGTGAAGAGAGAACAGAATGTGGAGCAGTGGTTGGGAGCCTGATCAAAACAGGCCCTAGGGGTTGTAGAGGAGCAAAAAAATCCATTAGCAACTATTCCGTGTAGCATAGAAGAGTACAGGCTGGCTGCAAATCCTGAAGAGGGAGAGCTTTTAAAGTGGGTAGCTGACAAAAGGCCATGGTGGGTTCTATTTTAAAATAAACATCTTATTGGACATCCACAATGAGTATGTGCTGCATATCAGAAGTACTGCAGGCTCAGAGGAGGAGGTTGTGGGTTGGTGGGAAGAAAGAAAGAAACCTTCCCTTTCTCCCCTGCCACTCCTCCAAACACACGCCCTTCTGATACATGACTTGCAGAAAAGTTAAATAGTTGATCACAGAGGCAAGAGAAGAAACCTTCCTTGGGACACAAAAAGGAATCAGGTGGGCTATGACTGCATTTTAGGAGTATTTTGTTAAGTTCCTAAATCTGATAATATGAATACATATGCTTTCATTGTACCAAAAAGTGAAAACCAGAGCTGGATGTGGTGGCACATGTCTATAATCCCAATGACCCTGTAGGCTGAGAAAGGAGGATTACAAATTTGAGGCTAGCCTCAGCAAATTAGTGAGACCCTGTCTCAAAGTTTTAAAAGAAAAAAAAAAAAAGAGAGGATGTGGCTCAGTAGTAAAGTACGCCTGGGCTCAATCTCCAGTATCATAGTAAATTAATTAATTAATTAATGAAAGGCAGCTAATTTGATCAATGTGGTCTTTTTTTTTTTTCTTATACTGAGGATTGAACTCAGGGGGCACTCGACCACTAAAGCATATCCCCAGCCCTATTTTGTATTCTATTTAGAGACAGGGTTTCACTGAGTTGCTTAGTGCCTCATCATTGCTGAGGTTGGTTTTGAACTCCTGATCCTCCTGCCTCAGCCTTCAGAGTCACTGACATTACAAGCATGCACCACCATGCCCAGCTGATCAATATGGCTTTTTAATGATTGTTGGAAATAAAGTTCAGCCAGACATAAAAAGAAGATAGATCATATATTTCCAGCTTGTCTTTCCCAAGGAAAACTTTAAGAAACTACCCACTCCCATGTGACAAGTTATGGAGGTATTTTGGAAAGATAAGGTACAAATTCAGGATATTTTGAACACATTTCTCAGATCAAATCAGATGAGATGACAACCTTGACAATATCAAGATGTTGGTATTCACAAAAAAAATATAAGGGAACTAAGGGAATTATGAAAATAATTCAATATGGTAAGAATTCATTCAATGTCCCAGGAATTCTGCATATTCTGTTTAGAACACGGTTAGAGGTCTGGTTTCTAACTGGTCCTGAGCTTTTTGCAAGACCCTACAGCAGCATCCTCTTCCCTTTACACAGAATCAGGGGCTGTACCTTGGTCAGCACACAGTTCTAGAAGCCGGGCTCCACCCATTGCTGACTGTGGAGTCTTGGGCACTGTGTGCCTCTGCTTCCTCATCTGCAACGTGAAGATGAAGATAGGGTTGTGGGGGAGCATTCAGTGAGCTAAGACACGTAAAGCAATTAGAATGATTCTTGGCACAGAGGAAGTGCGTGTATTACTGCTGCTGGAGAGGCAAAAAAGGAAGCTGAGCAGGCCAGAAATGATCATGGAAGAGGACAGGACCCACCCTATCCATCCTGTAATATATCCTGCCTGCAGCAGTCCTGCTAAGTGCTCGTCCATCCTGTGCTGAGTGCTGGTTAAACCTTGTAGGAACCTTTATTCAGGAGTTTAGAGGAGGCATGACTGTCACTGTCCAGGAGCCTCAGGAAAGGACAGATGGAGGGAGCCTCTCTGTGGACCACACACTAGACCCTAGAATTCAGTGACAGCCTTTGTTGTTATTCTCCGAAGCTTAGAGGTACAGATTTGGACAAAAAGGGAAATAAGTAGGTAAAGCACTACATCACTCAGAGAATACAGACTGAAGAACAATTTTAGAAACTCTTAGGTCCATTTATGACATAATCGTTCGTTTGTAATCTTGGAGTTTCCAATGTGTTTATCTAAAGTCAAGAGAATCGCTGGAGCCAGGCTAGAATGCCATAACCTTAGCTCAGGCGGCTGAGGCAGGAGTATTGCAAGTTTGAGGCCAGCCTGGGCAATTTAGCAAGACCCAAAATAAAAAGTAAAAAGGACTGAAGATGTAGCTCTGAGGTAGAGTGCTTGCCTAGCATCTTTAAGCTCTGCATTTGATCCCCAGTTTAAAAAAAAAAAAGAGATTATTATACTGGCCTTTGTGCCTCAATGTTCCTATCATAGACCAAACTCAAAAACTAACAAACTAAAACCAGCTTTCCTCAAGTTACCTGAGTGCCATGAGATGCCAGTCTGCTCAAATTCAACACATATTCAGCGTGATTGACTTCACCAGAGGTTGCTGTGCTAACTTCTTCATGTATACAGCAATCGGTGCATGCAACATTATTAAGGAGCAGGTGTCTGGTAGCAGAGGAAAGACAAATGCCAGGCAAGGGCGAGCATAACCAATGCCACTTCTGAAAAGGAAAGACTTGCAGAGCTCCACAGGGAAGAAAAAGAAGGAAAGTACATCTGGCTGGGAAAGTCAGGAATGACATGATGTGGGGAGGGGGTTGGTGCCGGAATCCAGGTGGTGAGAACAGCAAAGACAACCAGAAGGTGCATTTGAAGAACAGAAAGCGATTGGGTTTGATTGGAGCAAGGGGTCTATGGGAATAGTGGAAAATAAGGCTGGAAAGACAGGTCAGAAGTCAGTGTTTGGGGTCCCATGGATGAGGGCTTGGGAGACTAGAAGAAGGAACCCTTTCCTTGGTATCCAAGAGTGCAGGGTGGGTCTAGGGCCCGATGAGAGAGAGAGAGGGGCACTGTCCTCTGGGAACAAGGGTCAGTAGTGGTTCACCTGTGTTTCAGGGTTCTGAGCAGGGACAAGGAGGCTAGTTCGGGTCAAAGCTGGGCCTCTGTGATATTGGTGACGGTCCTACTCTGCCTGACAGATTGAAGCCTGGGAGCAGGAGCAGCTGAGCCAGCCTGTCTGTTTCGATTGCTGCTGTATCGACCAGTCTCCCTTCCAGCTGGTGGAGCAAACGACCCTGCACAAGGCAAGGCCTTGCTGGCCACTCAGGGCTGTAGGGAGGACAGGCAGGTGTGCGGGGTGCACTGACCTGTGCTCTCCCCACTCAGACTCACACCCTCTTCTCGCTTCTCGGCCTCCATCTTGCTTACGTGACCAGCATGGGAAAGCTGAGGGGTGTCCTGGCACTGGAAGAGGTAATGGACAATGATGGGTCCCCCGTGAGGAGCAGAGGGGCAGATGGGCATAGGACCAGAGGGTACGAGTGAGGAAGGGATGGTATTGATATCTTGGAAGTCCTTCCACGTTTCTCCATGTCTCACTCAGAGACTGGAGGAAGTGGGGGGAGCAACCAGTGGGAGGTACAAAGCCTACCATGGCTACAGTTGCAAAGGGGACAGGATTCTCCACGCCAGGTGAGACCCCACATCACCTTCCACTGATGGCTTGAGTCACATTTCAAAGAGTGTGCCATGGGAGGGAAAGAGGTAGGTGGATGAGACTAAGAAAGTCACTAGGAAGGAAGGGACAACAGAGGGCCTGAGCCAGGGGAGCTGGAGAGTCACTGCCGCTCCGCAGGCAGAGCGGTCAGTCATGCTCTTGTCTCCTCCTTGTCTCCTTCCTTTGTTCCTGATGTCTGTCTCGCCACTTCTCCTTCCCTGCCCCCCTGTTTCTTTCCTTTTGTGTGTCTATCCTCCCCTGTCTCCCCCCTCCACTGCCCTCATCTTTCTCTTTGCTACTTTGTGCCTCTTTCCCTCTCCTACTCCTCACCAGCTACAGAAGGCTATTGAGGGCCACACCAAATCTGGGGTGCAGCTCCGCCCTCCCCTTGCCAGCTTCCGGAACACAACTTCAACTCAAAAGAGCCCTGGGGGACCCCCGCCTCCTGCAGAGGGCTGGAGCCTGCCCGAGGATGGAGCTGGAGTCCTTGGAGCTGGGGATGTGGCTCCTGCCTCCCCAGAGACTCCTGTGCCACCTCCGTCCCCAGAGACCCCTCGCCCCATGGCCTTAGCCAAAGCAGAGGGTGAGCTGGAGGAGCTGGAGCTGGTGGAGAGCCCAGGACCAGAAGAGGAGCTGGCTGACATCTTGCAGGGCCCCAGTCTGCGATCCACGGACGAGGAGGATGAAGATGAACTGATCCTTTGACCGCCTTCCAGGCCCTTGAGCCACTGCTGAGAGGCCCACGCCAGAGGGTGGACTTGTGTGGGCAGGGTGTCCTGAAGGGCACACCTGTATTTTGCCCCTCCCAGAAATTTTAAAATGTGATATTCTTAAAGGAGGAGTCGGAACTGGGGCAGGGAAGAGTTTGGGTCAATTATTCAGACACTTCTCCATTCCCAGGCAGGTGTTTCTAATCCCCAGGAAGGTCCCCTGATCTCCCATGGGTCTTCCTGGGGTTTCCTGTTGTATGGATGGGGTCCCTGCCTCCCCTCACCACCTTCCAATTCCCCAGTGCTTTTGTCCCAGCACCTTCCTGGTCTTGCTTTTCCTTTTGTTTCCAAAGCTGGAGACTAAGCAATGGCCCAGAATGACGGTGGCCTTGCAAGAGCCATATTGGAGAGGGAAATGGGACTACCTCCTGGCCTTGTGGACAGATCACCCCAGAATGTGTCTTCAGACTGTCCACAGCTGCTTTTCTGGAAGCCCCAGCTGGCACACATCTGCTCCAACCATGTGCCGCCAGATCCTATCCACTGCCTGGTCTCTAGGGCCATTGCTAGGGCAGGAAAGGCCAACCACACCTCCCTTCCTCTGTCCCCTGCTTCAAGCAGTGAGTTAAAAGTGTCAAAAGACCATCAAGGGCAGATGCCTGGAAAAGGTTGCTAAAGGGTCCACATGGAAGGGGCAGGTGTCTTACTGCCAAATAACATGGTTGGCTCCATGGTATTGCCTGACTCCCTCTAGCAGAAGGCCCCATTTCCTTGTTGCCCTGTTTCCAGGTTCCTCCCTACAAAATGGATCTTCCCTTACCCCACTATAGTGATTGACCTGTCCTGACAAGGGTCATCTCTCCCCTAGAACCCTCTGCTAGAGCTGCTGCTAAGAACCAAGGCTGGGGTCTCTATGACATCCTTGGCCCCCTCTTAGACCAGCTCCTTGGATTCTTCTAGGGGTGTGGAGTTCAAGGGCACCCTGAAGATGGCAGGCTGTTTTGGTGCTTCCCACTCTTCGGGCAGTCCCATCCTCCTCCTTGGCTGTGGAGCATGCCTTAGCCTGCCTTCCTGAAAGAGATGCCAGGTGCGCCGAGCATCCAGAACCTCCGCTCCTCACCCCAGGGCATGGCTCCTTACCCTCCCTCCCTGCCTACCTTATTTAGTTCTGCAGTTGTGTCCTCTCCCCAGCATTCTCCTCCTGCCCCTCCCCTGTGCCCAGTCTCTTCCATCCCCCAAATAAGACACTTGAAGTCAGAGGGTACCACCACAGTCTGTTTAGTGTAGTTGAACAAAGGCTCTGGCCTTCTCCAGCCTCATGGCATCCCTTCCACCTCCCCAGGCCAAGGGACAGATGCTGAGCCTGGGTAGGGAGATTGGCAATGAGCATCCAAGCCCATGCCCGTGTGTATATAATCTATAATATTTATATATTTATATAGAATTCTCTCTGTAATATATGTCATAGAATCTCTCTTGGGCCTGGGTGAGAAGGTCACATTAAGAAAACATGCTAAGACTGGCCATGAAAATGGAGATGTCTCAGACCTGGAAGACAGTGTGGGATGTACGGGTGGGTGCAAGGGTAAGATAATGAATCCACCCTCAAGATCCCCTCCTTAGCAAGAGGATAAGAAGGAAGGTGGGGAGGGCGGGGAGGGGACAATGGAAGGGGAGGAATGGAAGGTTCGGATTTTCATTTAATAAATTCAGTTGAAAATGAAAGTGCACCCCCCCCCTAAAAAAATCATTTAGCAAGAGCAATTTCATTCACAAGAATATAAAAACAGCTCTGCTCCAGAGCTGCTGTAAAACGTGCCGCACAGCCTTTAACCCCAAAGGAAAAGCGACCCTTCCCCACCCCCCAGCCTTTTCCTGCACATGCCCCACCCCTCCCCTTAAAATAGGCTAGAAGCAAACCCCCATGCACCCTGCCCCCAGCACCAGAGAGGCAGTCCCTCCCTCCAGAAGAGTCCAAAGTGGTCCCAGGCCAGCTCCTCAGGTCTTCTCCCTCTTGAAGGGGGTGGAGCGCCTAGCTAAAGGCAGACCCCACCTGACTCTGCTGTGATGTGGCAGCACCCAGGGGACCAAGCCCCAGTCATGTGTGAACCCTACTAGTTCCTTCAGCTCTTTAATCATCTTCCATCGGGGACCATTTGGCTTCGTTGGGAAAAGGAGGGAGGAAAGAAAGCTGCTTTAGTTTACCTTTCTGAACTTCCCAGGGCCCTGAGCAAAAAGGAACTGTACTGAATGAACCTGCTTCCTGGATTAGGCATCCATCATGAGCTAGGGGTAGAATGTAGGGTACTGGGGCATGAGACAAAGAGGAGAAGGTGATGCACTGACAGAGTGGGTCGGATAAGGCAAGGAATCAGGGGCCTTGTGGGTGGAGGGTAGCCTGAGCACACAAACCCCAGCGACCTGCAGCAGGAGATGGGCCAGGACAGCTGCCTGCCGGGGTAGGCAAGCTAACCCCTTCCCGACCTCCTAGCAGTGAGGCCCTGGTACGCCGAGTCATGACACATTAGCAAGCACAGAGGTATTTTCTCCCGTTCAGGCAGCATTAGGTGAAGTAAGTGACCAGTCACCTACCGTGGCTCACCATGCCCACTCTCATTTCTGCCGAGAACCAATCTCAGGATAGCCATTCTCCCCCTCCCCTGGAAGACAGCACTGGCTGCACTTGAGGGGCACATGTGTGTGAGGGTTGGAAACCGGTGGAGGGCAAGGGTCACAGATGGACAGAAGCACCCCAACTCTTGACCTCTTCACTCCAAAGCCACAGAAGTCGGGCCTATGGGAAAATGGGTAGCTTGTGCTCCTGTCCCAGCAGAGGATCAAGTAGTAGGACCCCTAACAGAGTGTGTGACTCAGGCCTTGAGCTGGGGCCTTAGGAGCACAAGGAAAGGAAGCAGGCTCTGAGCCTGAGCCTTCTGCTCCTGCCAAAATTCTACCTCCGCCATCAGCCAGGAGTGGGCCACCACTTCAATGGTAGGGGCAAGTTCTGCCCAGCTTCACTCCTCAGTTCACACTGGCTCCTGTCCTCAGGCACCCTCACAGAAGTACTGGGCTGACTTGCTGCTCCATGTCCCCACCTTCCAATCCAAACCAGAGTGGACACTGGGTGCCCACGGTAAGCTTGTACCCCACTGCAAACCCATCCTGAAGGATGCATGCACTGATGCTCCCCTCTTCCTCCTCAGGCAGCCCAGGGAGGGAGGGAGGACACCTGGGAGGCCTTCCCAGGAGTTCTGGGAGGAGCTGACAAAGGGACAGAAGGAACCAGTGTCCACCTTGGCCCACAACCACCAGCCTCATCGGGCGAGGCAGCAGCAGCAGCACCCGACTCCTCCCTCTGCCCTGCTCAACCCTGAGTCCCACAAAGTTATAAAAATGTAGAAAAGGCAAAGAGAAAAGTGTAAACAGCTCCAGAGAATTAGGGTGGGTAGGAGGAGCCCTGGCCCTCATGCTCCCCACCAGCCAGGACACCTACATCCTGTGTTAGCAGATCTCGTGTCCCTCACCCTCCTCAGGGCCAGGGGTGGAAGAAGGCAGGAAGGGAGCCAGAGCTGGAGCAGCCAGCCCCAGCTGGTCTTTTCCCAGATCGTAGGATCCTCCTTTCAACCATGGGACACTCGAGATCGAGATCCTAGAACAAGCTGCCGTGTTTGTCCTTGATCTCATTAGTAACCCTCTTAACTCTGGGCAGGCCTTGAGATCGAGAATCATGCTTGAACTCCCTGTAAATCCAGCTGCCACCTCCACCTCCTCCTTGGCTCCTGATCTCAGAAGCCAAATTACCCATCGAGGGCAGACTGTCCACCCTGGACACCTACGTGCCCTTCAGTGCCCGCCGAGCCATGAGGTCTGCTCCTCACAGTGGGAATAAGCTGGGGCCACTGCCAGAGGAAACACAGAGTCGGGAACAGCAAGAGTGAAATGGAGAACGGAGGCATTCAGACAGCACAGGGAGCAAAGAACTGAGATCCAGTCTCCAGCAGGCCCCTTGCCCTCCTGTCTCTGGGCTGCACCCAGGCAGACCCAGAGACCCACAGCCACGGCTCTTCTCTCACTACCATGCCAGGTTCACAGCCGTATAGTTGCCTGGGTCTCAGTTCCGGGCCTGTGGTTTCTAGAGCGCAAGCCTAGACACAACCCCTGTGGGTCCTCCACTTTCCAGGCGAGGGCTGGACGTCCAGGGCTCCCCCGAGGTCTTCTGCCCGGGTTTCAGCTGTGCTGCTGGGGCAAGGGAGGGTCTGGGTTGCAGCCATGCCCCTCAGGTGAGAGTGGCATGGGAAGAAGCTAGTTGTTGGCCTCACCCTCCTCCTCATCAAAGGACTGCACGCCTGAAGATGTGACGTCAGACACCTTCCTGCTGAGCGCAGTGGACACCTCAGGGTCTTCTCGTGGGGAAAGCGACTCCAGGTCTCGGCATCCCGCGTCCTCTTCCTCCTCAGGGGCCAGTGGCCTCTTCTCCTCCTCAGCAGGGCCCCGAGCCAGGTCCACCCCACCCACCCCTGGCACCCAGTCAGTGTCTCCCCCCAGCAACGGTGGAGGCTCCTGAGCAGAGTATCCTGAAGCAGGGTGGACAGGCCCCATGTCATGTAGGCTGGGCTGTGAGTCATCAAATGCAGGGCCAAGGTAGGATCCTGTGGCTGGAGAGGCAATGAGGGACTGGTCACTTGCTTCCCAGGCATCAGACGATCCCAGACAGTACATGCCCTGGGACACATAGGAGTGAGGCCAGCCGTCCATGGGGGCTTGAGCGAGGGCATCTGTAAAGAGAATCAGGAAGGTTGAAGGGGCCACAGAACATCCGAGGCAGTAATGACAACACAGAAGACTAAGGTAAAACAGAGGGTGGCACAGAGTGGGAGGACAGTGGGAGAGTCGAGACCAACAGTCCTGGACAGGTAGACGGAGGCAGCCCAGAAATGGGGAGCCTCTTAGGCCCCAGGGGTTAGGTTCTGGAACCATCTCTCACCCTGACTCTCCATCAACTCCTGGTAGTTGTCACTGTAGTTGCAGCCCAGTGGCTCCTGGGTGGAGTTGACACTCATGTCCTCACCATCCATGGAAGACCAGGCCATGAGTGTGGCCTCGGAAATAGCAAATTGTTCCATGACTCCTGGGAGAAGAAGTGCAGTCACCACGAGATTCCTCAGGGGACCCGCGGACACACGCAAAGGGGGCAGAGACACCCTACTGCAGCGAAGCTCAACAGAATCAGAATGCAAGCCACCAGTTTCATTTTAAACTTCATAATAGCCATATTTAAGAAAATAAAAAAAGAAACAAGTAAAACTAACTTGAACAATATATCTTATATCCTATGTAGCTCAGTAGGTATAAAAGATTATCGTTTTACCATATCATCAATAGAAAAACTATTAATGGGGGGCTGGGGATGTGGCTCAAGCGGGAGCGCGCTCGCCTGGCATGCGTGGGGCGCTGGGTTTGATCCTCAGCACCACATACAAATAAAAGATGTTATATTCACCGAAAATTAAAAAATAAATATTAAAAAAATCCTCTTTCTCTCTCTCTCTTAAAAAAATAAAAACGATTAATGAGATATTTTGCATTCTTTTTTTAATAGGAAGTCTTTGAAATCCAGTCAGTATTTTACACTTGGAGCCCATCTCCATTTGGACTAGCCACATTTCAAGTGGCCAGTAGCTACTGTATTGAACAGCATAGTTTTTGTATATGCCTCGAAACAAGGCAATATTGTGGGACTTCCCAGAAGGTCAGCTTTAGGATGCCTAGGGGAAAGAGTTGGGGGTCTCTAGTGAGATTAAAAGTTAGGGATTTCCAAAAGTTCATCTTCACAGGATTTTAGGAATTGAACCTAGTATTAGGCGGTTGAGAGCAGAAGCTAACTGGCAAGTCTCAAGAACAACAGAGAATCCCCAAAGGCACATCAAGGGAATGTGGGTCTACAGTGTTATAAACTGTAAGCTCAAGGGACTGGAAGGAGAAAGAAGGGTATAATAGTGGACATGGTATAATAGTAGACATACTTGGGGGACCCTATTCTAGTCAAAGTGATGAGTCAGTTGAAGGTTGTATTGCTACTGCCCTGTCCCAACCCCTGCATGTCCTGCTGTCATACCACCAACACACCAAATCTTGCCTTGCTGCTACACCCATCCCTCTTTGTAGGCATTTTTTCAGGCCTGTCATAAGAGCTCTGCCACCCTTATGGGTAAACTACATGTCTGTAATGGAACCTATGCTGCGTTCCTAGAACTCAACTCCTTCTGCAGACCGCTGTCTCCTAGTCCAGTTCCCTTGAGCATGAAGAGGTTGTCACAAGTAATGAGCCCAGTAAGTGAATTCCTGACACGAAATGCTGTCAGGCTAAGGCTAGAAGAGATCCCCAAGGCCTGGCCTTCTTTCACTTCTAGAAACATGAGTAGAAGCAGAGGCTTTGAAGCCCAAGGCTCCTGCATTTCTCTCTACTAAGGGAGTCATGGGGTAGTCCCCCAATGTAGGAGAGAAAGCATCAGGATAAGGGGGCTCACAAATCCCTTAGAATTTCTTTCATTTGTAAGATCATAATACAGGCATGTTTGACGGCCCTTCTCAGCATCCGGTCAAAACCCTTGAAATTATTGGGAAATGTAAGCCTGGGGTCAGCATATGGATGGGGTCAGCATAGGGAAACAGTCTGGAGAGTCAGTCTGTGGTCATCTCAAAACATATCTCTTGAGGATTCAAGGTTCAAGTACCTGCTAAAAAGCGCGCCTCCTTCTCGCCATCGCTGAGGTCGGAGTAGGCATCCGTGTCCCTGCGCACCGCCTCATGGCTATGTTGCGGCTGAATGGTTGGGGCCTTTCCCCAGCCCTGCCACTCAATCATATGGGCCACCCGGCCTTGCCCCATGGCTGTGGGCTTTGTCACATGGTCCTTCATGCTTCTTGAGATCCCTAAGGAGCCAGACATTCTCCATATCCTCCAGAATATCGCAAATTAGACCCTGCCCCCCCATCATCCCTGCCCCAGGCCACAGGATTGCCATCCCATTAGAGCAAGTATCCCACGGGACTCAACATAAGAGGGACAAGCCTCGAGGAGGACATAGGAGCTTGGAAAAAAGAACAAATAACTCAGGAGTGTGGGGATGTGGGCCCTTATCAAGCCTGAAAGGATGAGGAGACAGAGACCAGGAGCTTGTAAGTATTCCCTTGTCTGGATGCATCTCCAGGTTGCAGGTCTCACCTGAGAAAGATGACTTGGCCAGGGCCCCGATGCCATAGGCGTTAGAGTTTCGTTTAAGCTTCGGAAGGATGGAAGTTGTGTCCTCCATGGAGAGCTGCAATGGGGAATATGGGAGGAGGAGCAGAAGAACAAGAAGGTATAGGGATGTTCTATGAGTGGAGAGGGGTCCGTGGTTTCTACAAATAATATGCACTGGGACAGGTCATATATCCTAGAGTCCCCAGGAGGTATATACTCCAATCACTCTTGAAAATGGAGGACACGGTGGAGCATGGGAGGGCCCACAGTGCCTGCTGGAGCTAGGCAGCGCGTGTCCTCTGGAAGGTCTAAGGGAGACTATAAAGAAGAGGGGTTAGTATGGACTGGGGAAGGCTGGGCGCAAGTGCACTCACATTGATGCCGTCCCAGGAGAAATCAGTTCGCGTTTGCTGTAGGAGAGAGGAAAGGGAATGGTATTGTAGGCACTTCCAAGGGTGTGCGTAAACCCACATTCCTCAGAGGGATGTCTAGAAGTATGCCGAGTGCAGCCAGCTTTCCTGAGGCTAACGTGGGGAAGTAGGATCTCAGTGGGAACGGCTGGCATGTATTTTCAGAAAAGCGGGAAAAAATGTTCTGTAAAAGTGTCAGTCTGAAGGAGTTTTTGGGGATGCTGCCATGAAATTTGGAAAGGGAATTCAAAGATCAGGCAGCGAGATACTTAGGGGCTCCGTTCATGGCTGTTCTTGGGATCTCTGAGTTCTCCAGCAAAGGGGGCAGCCAAGCAGGGAGGCCTTACCTCCGTAGAAGGCCGGTGGAGGCTGCTCCCATGCAGTGAGCTGGTGCTGTCCATGTTGATCTGGTCCACATCCTTCAGACCCTTCCAGTCCACTGCAATCACCTCATTCCCTGAAGGGACCAGAAGGTTAGCTGCTCACTCTTGTCCCCTGGGCCTGTCCTCTGTCTTTTCTCACAGAATGCTGAGGCCACAGACTGGGACTATACATACCCCATCTCTTCTCAACAACTGTCATGCTTTCTTCTGATTTCCCATTTCCTAGTGTCCCAATATTTTTGGTGAGAGAAATAATAATGCTGAGCCAAAACATTCAGTTTTAGCTCCACCAAGAATAGCACACTCAGAAAAAGTGTTTCATGGCCTTGTTTGTTGTTGTTGTTTACATAGAGTGGGGAGGAATCAGAGGTTGGATTTTAGTAGGATAACAATCCTCCATTCTGTCCAGAGCAATCTGACAGTTTCTATATGGGATCTGGGTTTTTCACCAACTGCAGAGTACAAAAGGGAGCAGAACTTTAAGGAGATGCTTCTTGCCTAGGCTTTGTTATTTGGGTGGGGATGGGGAGAAATGTGACTTCCCTCAAGAAAAGACCTTCCGTAAGAACTGCTGAACTTGTGAGGATAAAGGCAGAGTGGCAAGGACTCATGTGTTCCCAGAGAAGCAGTGAGAGGAGAAAGAGTGAAGGGTGAGATGGAGACACTGCACTGTTGGGAGACAGGTAACAGATTCAAGGGGAGGGATAGGAAAGCAGGAGACAATGGGACTTTGCAAAATCGGCATTGAAAGTATAGGAATTTGAGGCAAGTTCAAGAAAACTGAAGACATGGGAAGAGTAGACAGGTTTGAGGGCTGGCAATGTGAGGGAACCAAGGCGCGTGAACCAAGGAGCCAGGGGGTAGATGCGTAGCCCTAGTGCAGAGTGGCACTGTCTGAAGTCTCAGGGAAGAACTTCTTGGGTAGTTGCTGAGGGATTCAAGCATCAAATGGCTGTCTGAACCATTTGCTCTTATGGATCTTCTACACCAAGAAGTTTTGTGACTCAGTTGGGGTTACAGGTCCCTTCTTGGGAAGGATGCATTGAATAGGGTCTTGGACATGAGGAGGCATTGGGGCATCACTGATACAAAAGGAAGGGGGTTGGAATTAATGGGATTAGGGGAGGTAGGACCCCTGTCAAGCTGGCCAGCTCCCACTTGGGTACCTCCGGGGATGCTGAGATGGGTCAGTTCGGTGGCTGTGACTGGGATACAAAATATGGACATCTGCACGTAGCAGGAATGGGGCAGGCAGAGAACAATCTCTGAGGAGAAGAGAGATGGCGGAGGGCAGAGTGGGAGAGAGGGGAGGGAGGAAAGGTGGCCTTTGAGGAAGAGGGAGAGCTGAGTCAGAGCCTTGGGGGGCAGGGAGGGGGAGGGAAGGGGAACAGGGGAGAAGGGGTGAAAGCAGAGGAGGAGGGGGGTCTCCATGGAAATAAATCGGGTCTCAGAGAAATCAGGCTTCCGGAGAGTGAGTTTGTTTGTAATAATAACACGAATTATTCTCTCAGCCTGAGGTCACTCACTGGGGCGTGTAGGCGGGAGAAATTGGGAGTTGGAAAGGGAAAAATTGGGGGTTTGGGAGAGGGTGGGATTAATTTGTTAAACCGCAAGAGCAGAAAGGGTGTCTGGGGTGGGGGATAGAAAGGCGGTAGTAGGGCAGAGGTTGAAGGAAGAGGTCGGATTAGGAGGCGCCTTCCACCTCCCCCAGGCAAAGGTAAATAAAGAGCCGGCCCCGCCCCGACAGCCCCCGCTGACAGGTGCCGGCGGGTCCCCGGGTTCCTCCGTGGCGCCGGCCCCACCCTTCTGGGAAGCGGGCTCCGGCCCCCTGCGGGCGCGGAACCGGTTCCCTCCCCAGGCACCAGGCTCTTCCCGCCCCCGCCCCAGAGGGAAAATGCACGTGAACAAAGCAAATCGGGGGAGGCAGGAGCGACGGGAAAAGGCAACCGAGAGGAAAAGGGTTGGGGGCAAAACACCCGAGCCAGAGGGAGGTTGGCGGGATGGGGAGGGGGCGTGCAAAAGGCACTCGGAGCCGAGAGCGGGGCAGGGGGCTCTTGGGAGGGGGCTGCTCTAGAAGCCGCGGGGCGAGGAGGCGCCGGGCACCGCGGAGTAGAGGCGACGGCCTGGAGGTGGAGGGTGAGGGGACCGAGAGTAGGGCAGAGCGACGGAGGAGCCGAGGGAGGCTGCCAGAGAGACGGAGGGAGAGGGACCGCGCCTGCGGGAAGGCGACGGGGAGAAGGGACCGAGCCGAGAGGGACGGAAGCCCTGGAGGCGCCAGAGGCTGCGAGCCGGGAGGACGAGGAACGGAGGGACCGCGAGCGGATGGAGGGAAAGTGGAGGCGCGAGGCCGGGCCGGGCGGGCGCGGGCAGCGG